TAGCAGGTACCATTATGGCTAAGCTGAAAAGCTATTGACTGTGGTTAAAAAAAGGCTGGATTGCTGGAAGCTTAAAGAACATTTTTCCGTAGATGGTGTCCAGCACTCTACCAAAGACGCTGCTGCCCAGGAGAGAACTGCATTGGGACAATGAAACCACAACCACATGGGTTGCACAGGGGATCACCAAGTAGGCTGCTCAGTGGTGAGAGCTGTTGCATGACAGTGACAGATATCAAGGGAAGGGATGCAGTGGGTACATTAGAAGAAGCAGGCATTGTGTCTCTGGCACTCTGACAGCCAGCCACTCCAGAAATCACCAACATGAGGGGGCTTTTTTTATTCGTTTTCCTTTTAGATGAAAAACAAAAAGAGGACTTTAGATAAGAAAAGGTAAGGAAGGGTGTATCCTTTGCTCATAACTGTTTCTTATGCTCTAGATCAGTGGTTCTCAACTTTCCTAATGCAGTTCGCGCATGTGGTGGTGACCCCCTCCTCCGCCATAAAATTATTCATTGCTACTTTGTAACTGTACTTTTGCAACTGTTATGAATCATAATGTAAATATCGGATATGCAGAATATCTGATATACAACCCTATTCCCAGGCTGAGAACTGCTGCTTTAGATAAGAGATTTAGCACCATTTATTTATTTGTTTTTTTTTAAACTAGATGAAATATGTATCTTTCAGGAGTTTTTTTTGACAGACTTCGATTCTCCTATTTTCTTCTTAAAACATAGCTATTCTTTTAAACACAGGATTCAGTCGTACCTAAGAAACTGGATCTATACTTATTTACATTTGCTGAGTTTTATATATAAGGTATTTTCCCAACATGATCACTGACTTCAAAGGATGTTTTGAGGCCACTGAAATGGTTCAGTGGGTAAAGCTGCTTTTAGCCCAGTCAGACAACCTGTCCAATACCTGGACCCCCGTGGTTTAAGGAGAGAAGTGACTCCCCAACATTGTCCTCTGGCTTCCACACTCATACTGTGGCATCCATCCCTCCCAATACACCAAGCAAGTGAAGTTTTTTAAATGTTAAAAGAAAAGTAAAAACAATGTTCTGGCATTATAATATTGTTTTCCTACCAATGGAATATTCAAAACCCCTTTCTATTTATTCACAAGAGAAGTGAAATAAAAATAACAAGATATGACTGCAGATTCATGCATCCAAATTATGAGTCTGTGCGTCAAATTAATCCTTTTCTGTAAGTGTGTGCCAGGTTTCTGCAGGAAATTATTTCTCTCAAACAGAAAGGGGTGAACGACTCCATTAGCAAAATGAGGAATGAACAGCGCCTTAAGATAATTCAATCTCGGGACCTCCATTCTGTCCTCGCCTTAAGACAATTCAATCTCGGGACCTCCATCATGTCCTACTTATAGGAATCCATCCCTAAAGCAAAAGCTGAGCGCGCACCCTGGAAGTCTCTATATTGCTGTCGTGAATTTAAAATGACTCTTACGGTATTGAATCCCCACCCCCATAGGCACAGAGAGGGAGCTGAAGGGGTTTTTGAGGAACCATCACATTTCCCTGATTTTTTTTTAGCAGGCTTTTGGAGGTTTCTGGAAGGATGGAGATGAAGGCAGGTGTATTTGCTGAGGTGCACTTATTTTTCAGTGTGTGGCTGAAGCGGTTCAATCTTTCTTCTTATCTTAATCCAATTAGTAGAAACCTGAGGTGCCTTTTGAAACTAAGTGATTGTAATGGAAGTTTCTTTATCTGAGACTTTAAAACCAAAACAGAGCCATCAATTGGAACACTCCTTCCCTTTTAAAGCCAGGGGGAAAGTGTAAGACTAGGAGCTGAGAGCTAGTTCTTTTTAAAGACCTTCTTCTTCTATAGAACAAAACCAAGGGGGGAAGTACAGAGGTATGCATAGACCTTCAACCCCCAAACATGCATAGCATAGCCTCTCTTTCCATCGAACGCCCACCTACAGCATGTTTTGGTACTACCGAGGAACCCACACAGGCATGCCATTACCAGCCAAGTCCGTATTTTACATTAGGGCTCCTGTTGGCAGTGGGCATCCTATGGGTTTTGATGTGTAGCCACTCATAACAGCATCAACAATAGGTTTTTTTTTCTGACTTAAAAGTGTGTGCTGCCTGTTCATCCCCCCCTTCACTCTGACCCCTGGCAACTGCCAATCATTTTGCTTTCTCCATATATGTCTATATTTTTATTTTGTCTTTTCCAGAGTGTCGCTTAGTAGGAATCACCTTTCCTCGGTGTCTTCTTGACTTAGTAAAATACGCTTGAGGACCCTCCATGTCTTTTCATGCACGGCACCCCGTTTCTTTTTAGTATTTCGCTATCTGCATGTACTTGTTTACTTTCTCATTTGCCCCACTGAAGGACGTCTTGGCTACTTCCAAGTCATAGCAACTATGAATAAAGCTGCTGTGCACACTTGTGTATAGTTTTGGTCTTTACTTTGGGTTAAGTTCCATCTAACGTGATTACCAGTTCAAGGAGAGCACATTTAATCCTGTAGCAGCCGGACAATCTCCCAAAATACCATTCTGGCTTCGTCTCCTTGGGTCCACATTTCTTGTGTTCTGAATTTCATGCATCCTGACAGGTGTCTAATGGCAATAGTTACTTTTTATTTCTTTTCATAGACATTTTAGCTGTTATTTTTTTTATTTTTTTTAATATTTATTTATTTATTTATTTATTTATTTATTTATTTATTTATTTATTATATATACAATATTCTGTCTGCTTGTATGCCTGAAGGCCAGAAGAGGGCACCAGACCTTATAGACGGTTGTGAGCCACCATGTGGTTGCTGGGAATTGAACTCAGGACCTTTGGAAGAGCAGGCAATGCTCTTAACCGCTGAGCCATCTCTCCAGCCCTTTAGTTGTTATTTTTAAATTAATATTAAAAAGCTATCACCCCTGTCTTACCCAGATGAGTCTCTAAGAAGTTAATCTTAAGCTTAACTGACCTGACATCAGTTCCAGTGTGAGAGAGCTGTCACATGACGTGATCACCTGTATTTGTCTTCCAAAGTGTGAGTCCCCAACGACACTCGAAAAGCAGTTTTTATCAGGAGGCTTTTACTTTGATTGATGAATTGGGAGGGGGGCACTTTTTAGAAGATTCCTATCCATTTGCTGAAAATGTCCGGATGGCAATCAGAGACCAGAAGGTGAGGTATGTAGTGTTTTTCGGGTACAACGTTGCCCCTAATAACACATTCTTCTTGAAAGCATGGCCAACCTTTTCCTGCCTAATACTGTGTAATTAGTCAAGAGGAGAGCTGCCGGAAGGAAAATTCCGATTTCCCCTTTAGAATGGGGGCTGTTTTTATACAGACTTTGGCGTCTGCCCAGCCTGAGCAGCAACAGCGCACATGAGCGAGCAATTTGGCCTTGTTGGTAAATAAAACACATACACTTCTAACCAGTTTCATTTAAAATGAAGCACAGCTTATATCCCAAGCACGTTAAAGGCATCGTCTTGGCAGGGCAGTGTCTCCGGCTGAGTCACTGAGAGCTCATGACACAGCTCCAGGTGGGACCAAACAAACATCAAGGCACAAGATACTTCTCCTTCCTGGGTTTAGCTTTTGTGTTATATTTTGATTTCTCTGTTTTATTCAAATTCCAAGAATTCAATTGCATTCAGGACCCTGTTTCAATGTAAGGGACTGTTACCATGTGGCCATAGGCCTGACCCTCTTGTCATCTCCTGAGACAAGTGAAAATGAGCTGTCTGATACTATCCCACGGAAGGAAAGATGACCAAGGGTTTCTTAAGTAGCCATAGACAAGACTTCCTTGCTGGTTCTGTGTGTGTGTATGTATTTGTATGTTTGTATGTCTGTATATGTGTTTGTGTGTGTCTCTGTGTGTGTGATTGTTTATGTTTTGTATATGTGTTTGTGTGTGTGTCTGTGTGCGTGTATTTGTGTTTGTGTATCTGTAAATGTGTTTGTATGTGTATATGTGTGTGTCTGTGTGTTTGTATATATATCTGTGTGTGTATTTGTGTATCTATATATGTGTTTGTTTGTGTACATATGTGTGTATGTGTGTTTGTGTGTGTGTGTCTGTGTGTTTGTGTGTGTGTTTTTGTGTGTGTGTCTGAAACTCAACAGTCTTAACACCAGTCCTTGAAGAAAAGGAAAGAGGCTTGTTTTTTTTTTTACAACCCTCTAGCCTTCCCTGAGTCTCCAGTCCTTGGCCACCAGAGGCACACGCAGTTGGCAGAGGAGCCAATGCCAGATGGGCTGTTAATAAGCACTCCTAGAACACGACTTGGCTGTGCTTGGACCCTGTTCTTGCTTTCTCTGCTGCTTATTTTGATGGAAGTCATTGGGACTGAATTGGTTCTAACACTGGCCCGTGACCAAGCAGTGCATGGGCTGGGGGCAGACACTCCGCCTTCAAGAGTGGATAGAAACTTTAGAGCTCACCCCTCTCTCTCTATCAACAGTGGAGAAAAACAAACTACTAAACCTCAAAGGTGGGTAACCTTACTCTCACCCTCCAAATCAATAGGGCCTTTTAGACTAAGTAGTTTTGGGTGAAAACATTCTTTCTGTCTCTCAGATATCCCCTCCACATGGTAAGTCATGGACACAGCCTTTGGTGGGGAATGGGGTACTCTGACTTGGGGTTGGATTTGAAGTGGCCTCTAAGGAGATGTCACTTAACTGGTTTTGAATGCTGCTTCAGCTTAGTGAACACACAGGTTATGAGGGTGCTGTCGTGATGCTCCTGAGGTGTCATGACCCAGCTTCTCCTTGTGTCCTTCAGCCTGTTGGCCCCCACAGGGCGTCTTCTCTTCCAGATGGTGGCCTGGATTGATGGCCCATCCTTAGCGTCTGCTGCAGGTCACTCTCCTCACCCTGGTAGTCTCCCCGGCCACTGCTCTGGGCCCCAGCAGTGTCCTCATCACGTGGGAATGGACAATGGCCTGGGGAGCTAAACTTCAAGGCTTTACTTTGCAGGATGGGGATGGACTGCCTCTTGAGCAGTGCACAGCTTTCTAGAAGGTGTCCATTTCTGAGACGTGAATACACAGTACGGGAGTCCATGAATTCCACGCCTGTACTGTGGCGTCTGTCTGGCCACTTCACTCTCTCACAGAATTGCCTCAGGGATGGCAAAGAGAAGCTTCTTCCTATTCTCCTGCTCTCTTTGCCTCTTATATAAAACTCTATGGTTCATCCAAGCACACTGAAGAAAATAAAAGTAGATGAATTTGGCGTGTGTGTGTGTGTGTAAAGTCTTGCCAGAAAGGCTTTTGTTTTGCTTCATTTAAACCAGATTTCTAATGTTTCTCAAAGTTCTAAGTGTTTTTGCTTCACTGAAACTAAATCACGTTCTAAGCCAAGCCATAATTTAAATGGCAGAAGCTGGGCATTTGTCATTTTGTTGTTAATTTTGTTTTGTGGTCCTTTTATAGAAATCTTAATCGTCCTCCCTTGGGCAGATGGATGGATACCTTGAGTGTTCTCGGATCAAGGCCATGTATTTGTAAAGTGAGAAGTAAAAATAAAAACCACCCCCCCCATATTAGTGTTCAACTAGTCCCCTCGTTTTATATTTATAACACCTCACCCTCATCACAGCAGATTAACAAAATAAATATAACTACTTCGAATAAGTATAATTTTTAATGCTGTTCTATACAGAAGGAAATAAAGTTTTATTTAAACCGCTTTCAACTGCGTTTGCCTAGATCTACGTCTATGCTCTTTCCTGCATATAGTGATATCTCTTGGGAGACGCCACAAATCGAGTCAGCTATGGATGGCAGAACAGGGTTGTCTATAACATCAGCCAACATCAGCCACAGTTTACGTTGTGTTCAGATTCTTGAATGGCAGAGGAGAGAGCAGAGTTGAAATAATGCGGCTTCCGTCATGAACATACGAGGGCCATCCTGGGCTCCCCATGATCCTAGGACATCTTGAGCAAGACGCTGCCACCCAGCGAGAAGATCCCACACACCTGAGTGCTTAATTAAAAAGAACCGATGCCACAGATGGTTCTATTAAGTCGGAGCTGGCTGGAGGCTCTTTCTCTGGTTTCTTGATATCATCTAGGAAGCTCATAAAGCCATCCCACAACCGAGTGAAGAAAAGCTGAGCAGTTTCTGTCAGTCCGGTTTTTGAATCTCACGCTCTTTACCCAGCCTCGGAGAAGTGCCGTTCGGTTTGCGTTCAGACAGCTTCAAGCTTAATGGTTTTCTTCTTATCTTGATAAGTAAGGAGTGCAAGCCTGCTGCATCCAAGCTGAGCTGTACCTTTCCCACGTTTTCAGCTGTAGCATCTGACTCCTCGTGGATTCCCCTTTCCCTGTTAGTTTTCCTTGATCGGAGAAGTCTTTTGGAAGAGGGAGCGCCCAGCCCTGCGCAGGGCGGGGATAGTTTCACGAATTCATCTGGTGGAGTCAAGGAGCCTCCAGAGCCTGGGAAGAGTCCATGAAGGGGGGTAGGTGAGTCTATGAGAGTTATTAAGGCTTGAAATAGAGACCCCAGTGTGGTAAGGAAAGCAACCTCGTACACAGTGGGGAGGCCACGGCAATCTGCGATAACTTCCGTGGAAAATTGAAGGAGACAAATAGATTTCAGGTATTTCTCAGGAGCAGAGAGGGAGAACTTTAGCGAATTGAGTAGTGACACTGGGTTGCAGTAATTGAGCCGGAGTGTGTACGTAAGGGTGTCCACTTATGTGCTATCCTCAGCATCTGCGGAGTGCAGCCTTCAAGGTTCTCACTGAGCTGACTCCGAAAGCCAGAGGTACAAGTTCCTTATAAATTATGTTATAGGATTCACCTATAATCCATGCACACCTTCCCAAAGGCTTTCTGATTTTTGTGACGCCATTCACATGTGTTTGGATCATATTCACCCTCCCCCGTCCTCCTTCCGTGCCCACATCCCTCCCTATAGGACTCTTCCTTCCAACACGCTCCCATTCTCTCTGCCCCCCCCCCCCCGGTTTAATCCGGTTTGCTAGGTCCTAGATGGTGTAGGGGTATTTACTGGTCCATGAAAAACTTACCAGTGGCCACACCCCCAAAGAAAAATGACTCTGCCTTCTTCAGTTGGCATTAATTGCCAGGAGTCCCTCAAGTGTGGAACCTCATGTGCCCTTTGCCCAGTCGTGCTGGAGTAGTTGATGGCCTTAATCTTGTGCAGGTCCCTAGAGCTGCTGTGAATTCAGCTGACGAACTGGCCATTGGAGGCCCAGAAAGCAGTGTTACCCATAACTCCCCCAAAACCTCCGCCTCTCACGTTCTCTCTGCCCTCCCTGGGAATGGTCTCTGAGCCTCGGCCATAGAGACGGCCGTATGTGATATTCATGTCCTGTTTAGGACGAGAACTCCACTGTCGCTCACTCTCAGCGTTTTGACCGGTTGTGAGTCCCTGCTTTCACAGTTTCCACCGCTCCCACTGCAAAAGGAAGCTTCTCAGGCTGAAAGCAGCAGAGGTCATGGGTGTAAACATAAATATTTCAAAGGCAACTTGACAACAGGTCCATTTGGCGAAACAACAGTAATAAACTCCCTTTAGGGACTCTAGTCTCTGTGGCCATGGCCTTTGGACCAGCTTAACAGGACAAGGCATGAATTTCCTTTTATGTAGCAGGCCCCCAAAACAATGTAAAAGTAGCTGGTTACTCTCCCCAACAGTGACGCCACTATGTCACCACTGGGCCCATCTTGCCTGGTGGGTCTTAGAGCAAGCGGGTCCAGCACGGGGTACGTCATCAGGGGTGACTCTCCCTGCCCCTTGGACTGCATGGCCCTTCTAGCACTGGGACAGTAGCAGAGGTGCATGGCCCTTCTGGCACTGGGAGTTTCTAAGTTAGGTCCAGGTTGATTTCTCTATGTTCTGCAACTAAAGTACACTGCACCTTCAATAGAGGCATGCCATTTAACTATGGTACAAGAAAGTGGCCTGTATTCTTCTAGGGACCTCTGGGACCTCCCACTCATGAGATGGTATCTCCACAACCGGCAATGAGAGTTTTATTTAATAACCCATGTCTGCATGAACTGTCAGTTCATGCAAAAGTAATTCTGCTCAAAATATTTATATTTCTTAATTAGCATACAATGTAGTGAGTTTCCTTAAGGCTTTTAAGCACAGTTAACCTTGAAATGCCTTCAAAGACCCACCCAGAGGCCTCTATCTTAGTGGATCCTAGATCCTATGACCTTGACCATCAAAATTATCTACCATAGTGCTAATTCAAATTTTATTTTTGGCAACTTACTGGGATTTTTTAAAAATAAATACTTTTGGTCTGTGTTTGGTTGAATATGTTTGAATATGTAGATGCAGGGCCCGTGGGTTTGGAGAGCTGACCAAGTACAGAAGCAATAAACAAATATAAATAGACATCCTTATTTATGTGCCCTGCTCCATCCACTGAGAGTCTGGGAGAGTGGTACCCTGATATCAATGAACAAGCTCCCTGGAATCCAGATCTGGATTATATAATACTACCCTCCATGAGAGAGAACTTTTTTTTTTCCCCAAGGCTAGGTGAAGGAGATTGTGAAATGAAAGGGAAACATCTATTGGAATGAAAACAGAAAACCAAAATACTCAAAGAAGGATGCTGGCATGCTTACAGGACTAATTTTAAAAAGCCCCTGTTGGTCACTGCTGGGACAATTTGAATTTCAGTAGCAGCGCTGGTTGGTTTGGCTAACCTGACAAACTGGAGTCCTCTGGAAAGAGGGAACTTCAATTGAGGAACCACATCCACCAGATTGGCCCAAGGGCACGCCTGTGGGACATTTTCTTGATTACTGATTGGTGTGGGAGGGCCAAACCCTCAGTAGGTTTCCTACCCCTGGACAAGCAGTCTTGAGAGGAATAAGGAAGTAACCTGAATAGGACACAGAGAATGAGTCAGTAGGCCGCACCCCTCTGTGGCCTCTGCTTTGGTTGCCCCGTCTAAGTTCCTGCCTTGAGCTTCCTCCCTGGCCTCGTTGGTGACCAACTGTACCCTCCCTCAGCTTGTTTTTTGCCAGTGCTTTATCACTGCAAAGAAAAGCTTAACAAGGTCGGTAACCTCGGTGGATCTGAATCCACTGCCTAGAAGAGGAAGCTGTAAACCCCCGTTGATTGTAATACATTATGAATTCGATGAGGATGGAGGTACCATTCCCAAAGTACCTCTACGCGGAACACTCCCTCGTTACAGAGATGCGAAGAGCACCTTCACATTGGAGATGACTGACAGATGCCAGACTTAGGTAGCTGAAGGACAACATCAATGAAACGACAAACTGAAATTAGCAAGCACATCACCAACATCTGTGATGCGCCTGCCAAAGACACAAGATTGAAAGCAAACACGTGCATGCACGTGTGTGCAGGTCAGAGGACTATTTGCACAAGTTAGTTCTCAGGTTTCTCTACTGTGTGGGTCCTGGGGATCACTCAGGACACACCAATCTTGTCTTTACCCGTTGAACAATCTTGCCAGCTATATACAACATTTTACTCTCTCTCTCTCTCTCTCTCTCTCTCTCTCTCTCTCTCTCTCTCTCTCTCTCTCTCTCTCTCTCTCATGTTTGCAGGCCCAGGTATACAGAGGCCAGAGGACATTGTCCAGCTGTAGTATGCTTCCTTGAGACAGACTCTTCCTCTCTCAACATGAAGCTCGCCTGGAAACCAGCAAGTCCCAGTAATCCTCCTGCCTCTGCCCCCAACAACACTGGCATTACAAGGGTATGTGATCATACCCTTTCACACAGCAAATTCTTTAACCCCGTCCACATTTCTTTCTGCAGGATTTTTGATATCCCAGCACGGGTCCATTTCCCCTTAAATACTTCCGTCTGTTCGTGTCGCTTACTTGTCTCACTCCGGTGACAACATACCCGAGGAAAGCAACGTAAGCTTCTCACTGCCCACAGTTTCAGGGTCTTTCAGTCTACCATCGAGAGAAGGGCCTGGTCGTATCCATGGTGGTGGGAATGTATAGAAGGGACTTCTGCCCACAGTGTGCCAGGAAACAGGGGACAAAGGCCAGAACCAATAGTGACGGTGACTTAGGGTCCATCTTTAGAGAGTGTCTTTTACCAGCTTGGTTCCATCTCTTTATAACGCCACAGCCTTTGATATAGTGCCACACCCGGGAACAACTATTCCAAATAAGAATAAGGATATTTCTTTATGTAATTGTGGCACAAGAATCAAGTTCGGGAAATGTGCCATTGCTATACTTTGTCTAATATAAAGACCAAATTTGCATTTTGCCAATTATCTCAATCTTTCTTCCTGAAAACAAGGTCTGGCGACATAGCCCAGGCTGGTCTTAAAGNAATAAGCCTGGGTCGATCCTGGGACTCACAAGGTGAGAGAGAGCTAGCTTCTGCTGGATATCCTCTGGCCTCAACATACACACTGGAATATGTATGCACCTAAACATACATGCACACACACACAGAGCAACATCTTTTCCTGTTTTGCGATCATCCATCACATTCAGTTGCCTTGCGGCTACCAGGGGGCAGTCTCTCAGGCTTACTTCGTCCTGCATGATGTTGACAGTTGCTTTATAGAATGTTCCTCATCTCCAGATGTTTCCACTGGATTATTTTTTATTTAGTCTCTCTCCTTTGTGCCAGTTTCCCAACATGTGCTTTCCTCTGCCCCTTTGGGTTCCACTAAGTCCCAGAAACAGACACTTGTGTTGATGGATAGATTGTGTGGAATATGAGCTTCTTCTGGTGTTTTCGTGTTTTTTACTTCGTTGAATGGGCTATGGATCAACGCCTGAGGAGTTTGAGTAGTCTGAAATTAGATGGATGAAACAAGTGGCCCACAAAGGGGCATCCCACAGTTTGGAAACAGCCTCTTGCCATTTATTGAACAATTAGGATTAACACTATAGAGCCAAATGCAAACCATAGCCTTACGCACCATCAGATCCACAATGTGTGCTTGACTTTGATTGCCAATAAATAGCATCTTTCTAAAGGAGCTTTGGAGGGGTAAGGATGTCTTTTCTGTCCTACCGGGGTCTTCCCTGAGTTCTTTCTCCCTTGCAATGGTTCAGTGTTGAACTCTGGGCACCTGCCCACTTCCTAGTGACGGAACCCGCTTACTGCAGGAGACATGTGGGAGGTTGGAAGACAGGGAACTCCCTGAACGAAAAAGATCAAATAGCCCGAGGGAAGGAGCTTCCTAAGTGCAATGGCTGTCTGGTGGGATGGGGTGGAAAGAAAAGTGAAGCAGTTATGCTAAGTACAGAAACGGGTGCACTGGACACAGGCAGGAAGGCAAAGATGGTGATTAGTAACTAACCACGGAACAGTAACACCTCAAGATTTTCAGGGCGTTACATCCATTCCTCCCCACCAGAGCAGCCAAAAGTTTATAAAGTGGAAACATGGTGGTGTGCAAATTAATAGGGATATTTGTTCATTAGGAGTATATGTTC